CATGCCTTAAGCAAAAAAAAAAAAAACAGTATTGTAAATATTGGTGCACTGGGAGAGTGCCTTGAATAATGTATAACTATGGCTATCATGACTACATAATTAATTAAATAAATTTATATATAATATAATACGGAGTATAAACTTGAAGCCACTGCACGAGTTTAATGTTGGGACATGTTTGGTAAAACCATGGGTTGAAAAACTTTTATTTTTATTAAATAAAAACGGATTAAGTAGCTCTATTAATAATTTTAGCAAAATGTGTGAAGCACGTACTGATATACGTAGCATCAGTGGCGTATCCACTATGGGGGCAGCGGGGCAGCTGCCCCCACTCAACCCCAACATAATCCCTATATATATGTCCAAATTTTTACAAGAAATTGCCCAAATTAAGAGTTAAATGTAGAAAAAAATTCTAAAATAGGATTAGAAGTGTTTTCTTTAATATTAAAAGAATGAAAGGCTAAAAAATTCACTAAATTTTGTTATGTTTAAGACTGTTTAACTTATATTTAGGTAAATTTATGACATTTTATCTGCAATTACATCTTTACACACCCGTAATATAAAATTTTCTTCTTTTTATTCATACTTGTAAATAGATATTATAAACTAAATTTAATCAAACAATATTAATAATGTGATTTGTTATTTGTGAAATATGAGACTAAATTGTTGTCAAGTTTGCCCCCACTCGCCAAATTTTGTGGATACGCCACTGCGTAGCATAAAAGTAGTTAAGATGTTTTTACTTGGACTGTAATTTGTCCCAGATAGACCAAATTAGACCCGTTCAGACCAGACTTGGATAGTTATAAAAACACAAAGAAACCAGACTAGACCAGACCAGACCAGACCAGACCAAATCAGACCAGACCAGACCAGCAAATTACAATCCAAGTAAAAACATCCTTAGTAAACAAAACAAATTACTTGATGTCCTTAAAAGTTTTTAACAATTTATCAGCCGATTGTAAACAACCACATAACCAAACACTGTTATATAAACAGCTAATATTATCAGCTAATCAAAACAGCCAATTGTCAATTGCCAAACACCAATCATCCAACAAAATAGCAAACAGCCAATTGCCAAACACCCTCTATATATTATATATAAACATTAAAGACATGCACAACATTTTTCTCCGGACTCTAGTGCATCCATAAGGAATGTAATAATATTACTATTGCATGTGGTATTCATGTCCAACGGTAGGTTGAAAGGATCGACATTGTAGTATTGGAGAAGTGTATACGTAGTATATGGTAAAATTACACATTGTGATAGCCACTTTTAGTGACATATTAAAATAGTTTTTTTACAGTTACATATTAAAATAGTTAACACCGCATGTGTGCAGAATTTATTAATAGTTTTTTTGCAGTTACATATTAAAATAGTTAACACCGCATGTGTGCAGATTTAGAAGTTGTTCTCTTCACCTGATCTGAATGTTTCTGATCTGAATTTTTTAAGTTCTGATCTGATCTGATCTGAATGTTTCTGATCTGATCTGATCTGATCTGATCTGAATCTTTCTGATCTGGTCTGATCTGATCTGAATGTTCCTGATCTGATCTGAATGTTCCTGATCTGATCTGAATGTTCCTGATCTGATCTGAATGTTCCTGATCTGATCTGAATGTTTCTAATCTGATCTGAATCCTTCTGATCTGATCTGAATCCTTCTGATCTGGTCTGATTTAAATATTTATAAAATTATAATTATAATTTTAATTTTTATTATAATAATTAGAAATGTAATTACACATATATAATTTAAATATAATTATAATTATAATCATAATTATAAAAAAAATTATAATTATAATTATAACAGGTATAATTATTATTATACATATTACACTGGTTATAAATATAGCTATAATTAGAGGAAGCGGTCCAGCTCAGCTGGTCGCCGACTCACTCTCCCTTATGGGAGGTCTCGGGTTCGAAACTCAATGGGGTGAGTTTCAACCTAATTTACTTCAGCCCCCCCCCCCCCCCCCCCAGACCCCCTCCCCCAGACGTCTCCTAGAGTAAACAAAAAAACTATAATTATAATTGTAATTATATTTTTAGTTATAATTATTTCTATAATTATAATTTTAATTATAATTATAATATTTATTTCTATAATTTTAATTGTAATTACTCCGTGTAATATAATAATAACAAAAAAATATTAATAACAATAACAACAACAACCATAATAGTAATAAGAATAATAATAATCATGATAATAATAAATATCATAATAATAAATATCATAATAATAATCATAGTAATCATAGTAATGATGATGATGATGATGATGATGATGATGATGATGATAATAATAATAATAATAATAATAATAATAATAATCATAATAATAATAATAATATCAATAATAATAGTAATTATAATAATAATTAAAATAACAACGAGAATAATAATAATAATAATAATAATAATAATAATAATAAATTAATAATAATAATAATAATAATAATAGTAATAATAATAGTAATAATAATAATAGTAATAGTAATAGTAATAATAGTAATAGTAATACTAATAATAGTAATAATAATAATAATAATAATAATAATAATAATAAAATAATAATAATAATAATTATTATTATAATTATAATATTAATTATAATTATTATTAATATTATTATAATTATTATTATTATAATAAAAGGGATAAATCATGTCTGAATTTTTCTGGTCTGATCTGAATGTTCCTGATCTGATCTGAATGTTTGTGATCTGATCTGAATGTTTTTGATCTGATCTGAATGTTTCTGATCTGATCTGAATGATTCTGATCTGATCTGATCTGATCTGAATTTTTCTGATCTGATCTGATCTGAATAAAATAAGAATAAGCAATAAGTAATAAGATTAAGACGAACAGAACAGCTTCTTAATGGCATATATTAATTTCCATTTGTATACTGAGTTAGTGGCATGAGAAAATTGCTCTCGGTGGGATCAAATCAAAGCAACTTTACAAAAGTAGGATTCCGCTTTATTTTTCCCATGCGTGGGATCTATTTAGTACTGTTTAAGAAAACTTTATTTTTATCTTCCATTTTTACCCTTCTCTTATCTTATCTCCTAGATGCTGTTAGATTATTGGACTTATAATACATATGATATTCACAATATATTATTTATTTGGTTAATTGTATGTTTTATGCTATCTTATATTTAGCCCAAAAATTAGTGGTCCTATGGATATTAATTTAAGTGGGCTAATAAGTTATGTAATAAGGTATAGGGCCCAATTGTGTAGAAACCCATGGGCTTAACCTAATTAATGATGGGCTGATTAGGGTTAAGCATTCTCTATAAATAGAGGGGTTATGGTCCCTAGTTGAACACGCCATTCCGTCTTTCTGCATCCCATCGCTAGAGAGATAATTCCCGAGGGTGTGTATCAACTAGAAGATCCAAACCCTAGCCTCCGTCTCCCGGATCTCCAAAGATCATCTCCAATGGAGTCAGGTACGCTTCCGCTCAAGTTAATTCTCTAGATAATTCCAATATGAAGATTAAAGTATTTATGGATTTATTCCAACAATTGGTATCAGAGCCTTCTTCATATTGAATTATTTGGAGTCAGATCCGTAGTTAATCATTAAGCAAAACGATTGAATTTATGCTCTTTCGTTTGTTGTGAAATTTGTCGATCAATCTGGAATTAGGGTACTGTGATTAACGTTTATGTGATTCATGTAATTCTCATGCTTGAATCGGTGCTGATTGATTAATTGAATCCATTATATTGGAGTTTCGTGATCCGGTTTTGAATCGCAATAGCATTTGCGATTGTTCTTTTGAATATATATTTAATTTTTTTTTTCGATTGAGATGTTCTTGATGAAATATGTAATCATTTTGAGTATCTGAATTTGTCCCAATTGGAATTCTACTTCAACGTTATCTGTAATTAGAGATTTAGAGTCGGCAATTACGGTGTTTTTGGTTATCCAAAAATGGAACAATTTAATGATTTAAGGAGATTTTTTCAATTTATGGTGATTCAGCAATCGATGATCTGATGGAATACTGGAATTAAGTTTTTTTTTTAAAAGACGATTATGGTTTTGATAATAGCCGATTTGTTGTTTTGGTCTGCACCATAGTTAATTTCAATGCTTGGGTTTCGTTTTTGTTTTCTGGAATCATTCAAGTTTTTATTTTTGGGAAATTATCAAGATATGAAAAATTCTCTTGCACGTTAGTACGAAGTATTTGGTAAGGGTAATAATAAAAGTATCACTTGAGATCTTGATTTGTTTCCATTTTCGGCTCTGGAAATTTTATGGCTTTGGTAATTCAGTACATATATATATGTGATTACCGGTTTTGGTAATTAAATATTTATATGTAATTATGGCCAACTTCCGTTCTACCAGAAATACATAATTTGGATATTAACGAAATAAATTATTTTATTTTTGGTCATAATGTTTTGCGGCTTAAAATATGCATTATGTGTTATGAAAGTATAAATCTTATTTTGCGATCACACAACGATTGAGTACGGGTTTTACAAATTATCGTCATACATAATACATTTGAATGTGACTCAGGAAAATTTGCCCAATTTTACTTTTCACATATTTGATTTAATGTTAGCATGTCTAATATTTGGGTTGGTTAATTGACACAACATGCTGCCAAAGTAGCCTCTCTTGTTGAAATTAATTGACTCATATATTAAGATGATTGTGTACTTTCTTATTTCATGCGGATAATAATCGGCCCAAAGGAAGGTTATTATTTGGCCGAAATTTAAGTACATTTGTGATAATAAAATTTGTGATAATTATGAGGTTTTTATGTGAATATTAAGTCAGTCCAAAGAAAGGCTTAGTATTTGACATGATTTTATTATCAAAATTTTATTATTACACCAAGAGTACCACTTGCAAGTCTAATTTATGTCCAAAGCAAGATTAGATGTTGCGTTAGGTATCTTGTGATGGGGATTGCTAATATTTAAATTTAAAATTGATTATAAAGTTAATTTCAGTTTTTAGAGCATATAACTTATATTATTTTTTGTTCTCTTCCAGTCAACAATTCTGCTTCTACAATATCTGCTAATATTAATAGCATCCCTGTGCTTAACGGCACGAATTTTAAGGAATGGAAAGAGAACGTTATGATTGTTCTCGGTTGCATGGATCTAGACCTTGCACTCCGGACTGAGAAACCCGCCGCTCTTAAGGACTCATCTACCCTTGATGAAAAGAGGGAGATGGAGAGGTGGGAACGCTCAAACCGCATGAGTCTGATGATCATGAAACGTGCAATTCCAGAATCATTCAGGGGCACTATGTCTAATGAGGATGATGCCAAATCGTTCCTTGCCGAACTTGAAAAGCGTTTTGCTAAAAACGAAAAGGCGGAAACTAGTACTCTTTTGAGCACTCTTGTTTCCATGAAGTACAAAGGCAAAGGGAACATAAGGGAGTACATTTTGGAAATGTCTCATATTGCTTCAAAACTAAATGCACTTAAGCTCATTTTGCCTGAGGAATTGCTTGTGTATATAGTTTTGATCTCTCTTCCTTCTCAATTTAATCAATTTAAAGTCAGTTACAATTGCATTAAGGAGAAATGGTCTCTCAATGAGCTCATTTCTCATTGTGTTCAAGAGGAAGAGAGAATAAAGCAAGATAAGACTGAAAGTGCTCATTTGACATCTACCTCTAAGGGCAGCAAGAAAAGGAAATTTAAGGAAGCTGTAAATTCAGGACCTCAAAGAAAGCATCATAAGGAAACTAAGGAAGAAACTAAGGAATCTGGATGCTTCTTTTGCAAAGGGACTAATCACAAGAAAAAGAACTGCACTAAGTACCACGCCTGGTGTGCGAAAAAGGATATGTCTCTTGCTCTTGTTTGTTCTGAGGTTAATTTAATTTCGATACCCAAGGACACTTGGTGGGTAGATTCCGGTGCTACTACTCACATAAGTGTATCCATGCAGGGTTGCCTGAGCTGCCGAAAACCAATTGATGGTGAAAGATACATCTATGTCGGTGATGTCAAGCGGGTTGAAGTTGAGGCTATCGGCGTTTTTAGATTATTATTAAAGACTGGTTTTTATTTGGATTTGAAAGAGACATTTATTGTACCGTCATTCAGGCGGAATTTAATTTCTATGTCTGCATTGGACAAATTTGGTTATTCTTGTTCATTTGGAAATAGTCAGTTCAGTCTATTTCAAGATTCAAAACTTATTGGTACTGGTCTTTTATCAGTTTATGATAATCTATATTCACTTGATATAATTGCCTCATATAATGAAACCTTGTAAGTAAGTACTCGTGGTACTAAAAGAAAATTAACCAATGAGAATTCATTATCACTTTGGCACAAGCGTTTAGGACATATTTCTAAAGAAAGAATTCAGAGACTTGTGTCCGATGGAATTCTTGATTCTCTTGACTCCTCAAATTCGGATATTTGTGTTGAGTGTGTTAAGGGAAAACAAACGAACAAAAGGAGATTATGTGCCGAGAGAGCTTCAGATCTATTAGAATTGATATATACTGAAATTTGTGGACCATTCCCTACACCATGTAGAAATGGTCAAACATATTTTATCACATTCATAGATGATTACTCTCGTTATGGTTACCTTTATCTCATTCATGAAAAGTCCCAATCAATAGACGTGTTCAAATCTTATAAGGCCGAAGTTGAAAATCAATTAGGCAAAAGAATTAAAACTGTTAGATCTGACCGTGGTGGTGAATACTATGGTAGATATGATGGTTCCGGTGAACAACGTCCAGGTCCATTTGCTAAATTCCTAGAGGAGTGTGGTATTGTTCCTCAGTACACTATGTGCCTGGAACTCCTAGCATGAATGGTGTTGCTAAGAGACGAAACCGTACATTCAAGGACATGGTTAGGAGTATGATTTGTCATACCACTTTACCGGATTCACTCTGGGGAGAGGCACTGAAAACTGCAGCTTACATACTCAACAGAGTTCCCACTAAAGCTACAACTAAGACCCCTTATGAAATTTGGACTGGAAGGAAACCCAGTATAAATCATTTCCATGTTTGGGGTTGTCCAGCTGAGGCAAGGCCTTATAGGCCAAATGAAAAGAAACTGGACTCTAGAACAGTTAGTAGTTATTTTGTAGGATACTCTGAGAGGTCAAGGGGGTATAAATTTTATGATCCCACTTCCAGGACTATTTTTGAGACGGGAAATGCCCGGTTCTTTGAGGATATTGAGTTTGGGGGGTGGGGAGATAAGGTTAGAGATTTTGTCCTTGAGGTAGAGCATGTTACTCTTCCTTCAGTTGTCATTGAACATGATCAAGATATTTTTATTCCTAATAATGTTCAAGAAACAACTCCAGTTCAGGACAATCTCGAAAACATCCCCAATCAGGTACCTGAAATTATTAATGAGGATCAAACTCAACAACCTCAAGAACCTGAGGTGCCATTAAGGAGATCCACTCGAGAGAGGAGAAGTGCAATTCCGGATGATTATATTGTATTTCTCCAAGAACATGAGGAAAATTGGGATTTGGTGGAAGAAATAATTGTCTTCCTCCAAGAACAAGAATCAGATGTTGGTTTTGCGGAAGATGATCCAATCAACTTCCGTCAAGCCATGGAAAGTTCTAACTCTCAAGAATGGATTAATGCCATGAAAGATGAGATGAAGTCTATGAGTGACAATGACGTTTGGGAGCTAGTCTCATTGTCCGAAGGTATTAAACCCATTGGTTGTAAATGGATATTTAAAATCAAGAGGGATTCAAAGGGCCATGTTATAAGGTTTAAAGCTCGTCTTGTTGCTAAAGGCTACACTCAAAAGAAAGGAATTGACTATAAAGAGACTTTCTCTCCGGTATCTTCGAAAGACTCTTTTAGAACAATAATGGCATTAGTGGCACATTTTGATCTTGAGCTTCATCAGATGGATGTGAAAACTGCATTTCTCAATGGTGACATTGAGGAATCAATCTATATGGAGCAGCCAAAAAACTTTGTTTCGGGAGATCCAAAGAAAATGGTTTGCAAATTAAAGAAATCCATCTATGGGCTCAAGCAGGCTTCTCGTCAGTGGTATCACAAGTTTCATAAAGTAATCATATCTTTTGGTTTTCAACCAAATGTCAGTGATGACTGTATATACCACAAGTTCAGTGGGAGTAAACATATTTTCCTGGTTTTGTATGTTGATGACATATTGCTTGCTAGCAACGATATAGGCTTATTGCACGAAACTAAGAAATTTCTTTCAAAGAATTTTGAAATGAAAGATCTTGGTGAGGCTTCTTTTGTATTAGGAATTCAAATACACCGAGATCGCTCCAAAGGCGTTCTTGGACTCTCACAAAAGAGCTATATCGATGAAGTTCTCAAAAGGTTTGGCATGCAAGACTGCAAACCAGGAGATACTCCAGTTTCTAAAGGAGACAAGTTTAGTCTCATGCAGTGCCCTAAGAATGATTTTGAATCTAAAGAAATGAGGAACATTCCTTATGCTTCGGCTGTAGGAAGTTTGATGTATGCTCAGGTTTGTACAAGACCTGATTTGGCATACATTGTTGGGATGTTAGGCAGATATTTGAGCAATCCGGGAATGGACCATTGGAAAGCAGCCAAAAGGGTCATGCGGTATTTACAGAGAACAAAGGAATATATGCTCACATATCGGAGATCGGATCAGCTTGAGATCATTGGGTATACCGACTCTGATTTTGCTGGATGTCAGGATTCCTTGAAATCCACTTCGGGCTACATCTATATTCTAGCTGGAGGAGCTATCTCCTGGAGGAGTATCAAGCAGACTCTTACAGCGACTTCCACCATGGAAGCAGAGTTTATAGCATGTTATGAGGCATCCAATCAGGCATTATGGCTGCGAGATTTTGTTAGTGGACTGCGCATAGTGGATAGCATTGAAAGACCACTTAAGCTATTATGTGACAATAGGTCGGCAGTCCTCTATGCTAAGAACAACAGTAGTTTGACCAAGGCAAAACACATTGGGGTCAAATTTAAGGCTGTTAAGGAACGAGTACAAGAAGGAAAGTTATCTATAGAACACATTAGCACAAACTCCATGATTGCGGATCCGCTCACTAAAGGATTGCCACCCAAAGTGTTTCATGAGCATGTTGCTCAAATGGGTGTCAAATCAGTTGAGGATTATGAGTTTTAGTGGGAGTTTGTAATGTTTCTATAATTTTGGTTGATTCAGTTTTAAGGATATTTTCTGCAGAAATAAAGTTTAAAGTTTAAAGTTTTATGTACTCTTACAGTTATATTATTGATCTCAAGGTGGACCAGTTGGAAATAGACATTCTATTCCAGACCACACTTCATGTTATTTCCACGCTACACACCTATACTTGATCCATGTCGTTTATTATATTAATATATGTGATCATTGATGGGTCTAGTTATGTGAATATAACAAAGACTTCTTTGGTCCTATGTTGATATAATTAATGGACCGGATTGTTTAAAGATGACTACAGTTTGATAGCAAAATTCTGGAGCTCCTAAAGTAAACATACAATACTAAGGATTGTGTATACATATGTGTATGTCGTCCAAGTGGGAGATTGTTAGATTATTGGACTTATACTACATATGATATTCACAATATATTATTTATTTGGTTAATTATATATTTTATGTTATCTTATATTTAGCCCAAAAATTAGTGGTCCTATGGATATTAATTTAAGTGGGCTAATAAGTTATCTAATAAGGTATAGGGCCCAATTGTGTAGAAACCCATGGGCTTAACCTAATTAATGATGGGCTGATTAGGGTTAAGCATTCTCTATAAATAGAGGGGTTATGGTCCCTAGTTGAACACGCCATTCCGTCTTTCTGCATCCCATCGCTAGAGAGATAATTCCCAAGGGTGTGTATCAACTAGAAGATCCAAACCCTAGCCTCCGTCTCCCGAATCTCCAAAGATCATCTCCAATGGAGTCAGGTACGCTTCCGCTCAAGTTAATTCTCTAGATAATTCCAATATGAAGATTAAAGTATTTATGGATTTATTCAACAGATGCTTCTCTCCTTTTCAAATTGGAAGGGCATCTGCAGATCTGCCTCGATCAACTCCTTCATGTGTCTTAAAGTTTTCATCGGAGGTGGCACGCATGCCGGTCAGAAAACAGGGACGGACACACCGGACTATACGGCGGCGGAGCTACGCGACTATGCGGTGGAGACAGGCGACTTGCGGTGGCGGAGCTGGATGGACGCCCAGGTGAGATTTCTTCTTTTGTTTCTTCTTCTTCCCCATCTTCTTCTCTACTCCATCTTCTTCTCCCTCCTCCTCTTTTGTCTTCTTCTCTTGATTTTATTTGTTCAATTTTGAGATTTACAATGAAAATTGTTATTTCAGATCTCAATTTTTAGGATTCTAAAAATGAGAGACTGCAATGATCGGTTATCTCAAAGTTTTAGATCTAATTTTTCATTCATTTCGATTTTTTGTTTTGAAAAATGATTTTTTCTAAGTTTTTGCAGTTTGAAAATATTTATGTAATGATTTTTTAATATGAAAATATTTATGTAATGAGTTTTGAAATTGAAATTGGTATAACTAATATTTTATTTTTAAGTAAATACTCTTGATTCCAACATTGAACTCAAAGTAATGCCATATATAGCTGTTATAAGCCATGTTTTTTAATGTGGAACTGTTGAATGTCTACTTAATGACTACTTATTGTCTATGTATTGTCTGCTATTGAGCTATTATTAGAACTTATTATCTGTTTACTGACTACTTACGGTCTATGTATTGTCTAGTGTTTCCAAGTTTTATTTTGGATCTGCTTTCTTCACAAGTTTTGCAGAGTACCCGGTGGCCTTGTGAAAATATGAAATAGAAGTTCGAAATTGGCAAAATCAATGTCCAAAATCAGAAAAGAAGAACAAGAAGAAGAAGAAGAAGAAGAAGATGAAGAAGAAGACGAAGAAGAAGAGGGAGGAAGAAGAAGAAACCTCTGGCGGCGGCCGATGGAGCTGATGCGTCGGCGATCGATGGAGCTGGGGCGTCCAATGGATTCGTGCATCGATAGATCTGTTCATTCGCCTCCCAGTAAAAGGCATCGTGGAATCGCTGAAATTGTGCTTTGGCTAATCTGTTATCCAATTTAAAATTAAGGGTATTAAGGTCAAAGTATGCTTAGTTGAGTCTTACGCTAACTACAAGTCTTAATTTTGGAAAATTACTATGTTGAAATCTCCCTAGTTGCATTTGTATACTCAATTTTAGTGACATGTATGAATTCCCAAATATATAAAAATCTAGTTAGTGATGATCGTATATACTCAGTTTTAGTGACATGTTTGAATTTCCAAATATATACAAAATCTTGGAAGTTCTTACCCTTTCGTATATTACCTGTTTCGTACTTTCGTTCTACTGTAACTACTTTAACTAACGCCTAGCTTCCTTCTGTATCTTCTTCTATTCTCTGAACCAGTACTTGTCCAATTCATTTTAACCTTTTTTCGTTTCTACATTCTTCCGTTCATCCTAACTGAAGCGGTTAATAATTGCTACCTAACTTCCTTCGTTTGCCGGTCCAGCCGTCCTCTGCAACAGCTGTGAAGTTCAAGAAGGCGTGATAAGACTTCCGATATAAGTAAGTTGCTAGGGATTGGAGAAAGAATTTCGGAAATTGTCCTAAATAGGACTAAAAAGTTCCTAAAAAGCACAAATAGGACTACTATTTTTAAAATTCCCTAAATAGGACTAAACATTGATTTTCTACCCTAAATACCCCTAAGAGTATTAATTCATAATGAAATGCTTTAATTCATAATAAAATCACAAAAAACGTAAAAAAATATTTAAAAAACGTAAAAAAATTATTAAAAATTTATAAAACATTTATAAAATAAAAAAATTAATTTTTTATTTTTTTAATTTTTTTTAAAAAATAATAAAAAATAGTAAAAACCCATAAAAAATGAAAAAAATTATGGATACCTTTCTCACCGCCTCCCGCCGCCTCCCAGCACCACCACCTCCGATTGGTGAAATTTCTTCCACTTTTGGTAAAAAAATGCCATATTTTTCTGAAAATGCCAAAAAGATGGCATAATTACTCTTCAATATGCCAACATTTTCATTGAATATGCCATCATTATGGCATTATTTAAAATGTTGGCATATTTTTCTCCGGTGATGGGAGATGGTGGTGCTGGGGGGTGGCAGGGGGTGGTAATGTTTTTTTTTTTAATTTTATGATTTTTTTTATTTATTTTTTATTTTTTAAAAAAAATATTTTTTTTTAATTTTTTTAGAAAATATTTTTATTAATTTTCTATTATTGTTTTACGATTTTTAGTATTTTTTTCGATTTTTATTAATTTTTTTATGATTTTATTATTAGTTAAAATATTTCACAAGTTACAGGGTATATTTGTCCAAACACACATAAATAGTCCTATTAAGGGAATTTAAAAAATGTAGTCCTATTTGTGCAATTTTGCCACTTTTTAGTCCTATTTAGGGAATTGACTCAAAGAATTTTCCCAATTCTGGCTCCTCTTCTTCTCATAAGTTTCTTACCATTCTCAAATTTGTACCAATTCATTACTGTTTTTTCGTTTTTATCTTCTTCGATTCACCTTAACTGAAGCGGTTAGTAATTGCTATCCACCTTGCTTCGTTTGCAGGTCCTCCTCCACGGCAGTTGTAGAACTTAAAAGTGCTTCAGAACACTCCAAGACGTTTAAATTTTCAATACAAACGATTAATGTAGCAGCAGCAGTTGTTAAACCTAAATCTAGTGGTATCAGTTTTTAATGTCAGGCCAGAGTTCTCTCCAATGTAGGTAAACGTTTTTTGCTGTACTTTCTGTTACAGTGATTTATATTATTGCCAGGATATATAAGAAGTAATGCTTTCCTCTAAAAGTTGAGTGAAGTAGTTACGAATTTCACCAGTAGAGATTGATTATGATTTGAGTCTTAATTATATGTTACAACATAATATTCAGTAGAATTGGAGGAAATGATATAAAAGAAGATGACCTTTCTGTACTCCTGTGTCCCTCTATCTGTTTCTGATTATCCTTATGGTGGTCATGTTGTTTTTACGTCCAGAAAAAGCCATTGGTTCTTCAGTTATGTGTGACTTTGATTCTTGGAATTGTTATCAATGTTTCAATAATGAACTTTTCTTAAAGCAATGATTCACCTATCAATTCAGAGACGGCAGTGTGATTCACAAAAAAAATATCTACACCACCGGTTCATCATGTTTACTTGTTTAGCACTGTGTAGATGCATATACATGCTTCTTCATTTTTTTTTCACCCGGTGGAATCCAAAAACCCAAAGGTTTTTGGGATGAGGGCAAGGAAACACCTCACCTATTTATTAAATGAAAGGAAAAAGTACATGCTTCTTCATTATTCATATATATGATGTCTGTTTTAAAAAGCTCTTACATTTGTTTGGAATGTTTAATATTTGTACAGTAGAAATAAACACTTAATATTGAATAGAAGAAAATATAAAAATTAAAGTTATTGAGTCTAAAACAATGTTTTATTTTCTTTAAAAACATGTTCACTATTTCCAAATCACTCATATAACTGCCTCTGTATTATCTTTCCCTATCATTTTCTGTGTTTCAAGCAATCCCTTAGTTGTAAGCTGCTTCCATTAAGGCTAGAGCTCTTATCACTCGGTCACTCCCCTTTGAGATGCGTAGCTATGACCAATGCGTAAATTTTTTTGGGGTGTGTAACGTGTGTTATTGGCTTATTCTACAACTCTGCAAACTTAAATAGAAGCATAGTGCAGACTCGGTTTGGTCGATGTAAAAAACAGACTCAAGCTACGTGATGCTGCATTTTCTCTATTTGGTCGGTTTTGAAATTGTGTGTTTTTTGTTTTTCCTTATTTACAAGCAACAATTTATATTCCTCATCTCTTATAGGTGAAGCAATAAATAGAAGCTGAAACCAGTCTTTTTGTTTGCTTGATGGATTCTCATGTGAGTTTCTTGACTTCTTTAAGCTATTTTTGGATCCTAGAAAGTGGTACCGCAAGGAAAGTTACTTTCTTGTGTTTGGTTTTACCTCAGACAGAAAATGCAAAGGAATACAAGATATGTTTAATTGCTATGAGCCTATAAACTTTCACCTGTTTAAATTTCTTTAGTATTAATATGATAGAAATCAATTTAAGAAATGAATTTGAACAAATACAAAGCATAATTTTATTGAGTTTGAACCAATATTTTATTTTCCTCAACACTTTCTTTCCTTCCAAATTTGTTCTACAATTTTCTCTCTATTGTCTCTTCCTATGATTTTTTGGGTTTCTAATGTACCGTTAACAATTCCGAAATTATCAGTCCTTGCATTTTTGGAGCCATCACTAGTCACTACTAATGCAACAGCTCTAGCTTGCAATGTTATTCATATGTTAAACTTCTTTTGTGCCACTGGTTCCTGGAATGAAGTTATTATTTTGGAGAAATGACTACATAAAAGTTAAAGTACCTTTCTACACTCATATCAGCTATTATTTCATTCAATTTATCCAAAGAATTGTTTGGAATTAGATTTAACATAATTCAGTCAATTCAATGAGTCACACCCGACCCGCCACCAAACAAGCTCTTAGCTTCACATTTATTCATCTTTGTTTGTGGAAGCACTCTTTTATACGTAGTACTTAATAGTTTTCCATCAATTAGTAATGCAAAACTTATTATGATTTGAAATTTTAAAGCTAATTAGATTTGTTTCCTGAAAAATCACACAGCCTGCTTTCTTAACTTTTCACCAGCCAAATGAATCAAAAGCATCAAGCAGGATCGATGACCGCCTAACCAGTGATGTTGTGGTAAGGCTTAGAACACAGTATCGTGATCACTGGGTTTATTGCCATTCTCACATCCTTGTCCGACAAAGCAAGTATTTTGCTGAACGGTTATCCGACACCTGGCCAGAGTGTCAAATTCTTGACTCCCGCAACTGTGTTGAGGTTGACTGTGAAGAAAATGACTTCGACCACACACTCCACATCCTTCGTCTCTTGTATCTCAGTTCAGATTCTTCATTTAATGCTGATATTTTCCATGGTGTTAGGACTGCCCTCGGCATTTTACAGGCAGCCTTCAAGCTCGGCTGCCTGGAAGTTGTTACTGCATGTGCAGAATATCTGGAAGCTGTCCCATGGGAGGAAGATGAGGAAGAGGATATCCTAAAAGTAATTCCAAACATGGGACCTGAAGTGGGACCCGTACTTGCCCGTTTACAACCTGTCATTCCCTCTGTGATGATCAAACTATTTCTCTCAGCAATGCGATTTGCCACCTCCTCACCTCCAGCCTCTTTGAACGATGTAAAAAGAACAGCTCAAGAAGAGCTCGATGACATGTTGACTGAAGACAAAAATGCTCCTCTATTAACAGCTGATAATAATGAGATCAAACTAGAAGTGGTGCAATGCATTAAGAGACTCCACGATAGGTTAAGCGAACTAGTAGAATCTTTACAGTGTGATTCTGAGGACAGCAAAATGCTACTACTATCATTTAAATCGTGTTTATCAGATTTGTCCTGGGCGTTTCATATATTATCAAAGATGGGGATTTTGAGAGATTTTGTTCACAGATGGACGCAGATATCATTCAAAATATTAAAAGTGGTACAGAAGTTGAGCAAAGAAAAGGAGACCGTTTTGATAAGAGTGATTGTTCTTGATGTGGCAGCAATGGTGTTAGATGCCATAGCATATGGAAAGGTCGTTCTGCCTGCAACACAACGGCTTCACATGACAAAGGTTTGGCTTCCATTTGTCAGGGAAATGAGGTCTTCGATTGACACGACGAGTTACAATGATGAGTTCGGTATGATTGATGATGAGATGTGGATGTTATTGGAGTCATTATTTGTTTCATTGATACTTACATTGCCCTCTGCTGATCAAGCAGAGATCTTGACAGGGTGGTGGACAAATCCAACGTATCCAGACCTTTCCGTGGCCTTTGAAACATGGTGTCAGAGATCTAAGGTTGCTAGGCGAAAGAGGGAAATGCTTGCAGGAGGTGATGATAGTGCATAAATGGAAGTCTTGGGTGGTGGGATGGGTTCGGTCCGACTCAGGTTTTTATGGGACTTGAAACTTTCCACAATACTTCAGAACACAAGGTTCTGTAAATATACATCACTACTATTAGTCTGGGCCGGGTTTTAGCAGTTTCACTTTGGGCTGGACCTGTTTATACCCACCAAAATGAATTCCATGTTTTTTGGCATTTTATAAATATTTTTCAATTAAATCTGTTTACAAAATAACCAAACATATCAACAATAAGGATGTTTTCTTTTGGACTGTTTTCAGTCTCAGACCAGATCAGACTTAAACAGACCAGACCAGACTTAAACAGACCAGACCAGACCAGACCAGACTTGGATAGTTATAAAATACACAAAGACCAGATGTTTACCAGACTAGTTCAGACCAGACCAGACCAGACTTAAATAAACCAGACCAGATCAGGCTTACCAGACCAGCAAATTTCAGTCCAAAAGAAAAACATCCTAACTCAATAATTACACAATGAGATTCTTTTGTTCTTTCCCAACAAAATGAAAGCCGATAAATCATCAACAGTATCATGATTGACAAACAAAATGATAAACTCAGAAACATAAGTTAGGTATACGCGGATACAGCTAGAATACAATAAATTCAAGCCATTTTCTTTTTGTTTAGGTTATACGGAGTACTTCGTAAGTTCGAGGATTGTCCTGTTTGGGTTAGGTTTTAATTTTGTTGATATGAAGTATTAAATGGACTGGGTTTGGGTTGATGTATTAACCGAACTGCTAAGTTATGATAAAAAAAGATTTTTTTAGCTTGTCAAATTAAGCGGATATTTGATAGACATAAGTCCATATCTTCTAGCTTTTGTACTATTTAAAAAGTTTTAAAAGTTTCTAGTTTTATGTTTGAGATGTTACAATGACTAGTTTCTAAGAAAAAACTGTAGCTTTTACCATTAATGAAGCCCGATCAAAAGCTTCTTATAGAACCAACCACCTTTGATGCAAGAAAATTGCAGTAGACAAGCATCTTATAGAACCAACCACCTTTGATGCAAGAAAATTGCAGTAGACATGATCCCTATCACTCAACGCGTTTTACAAAAACTAGTGTTAGGGTAATTCTATTTACACTCCCTAAATTGCTATTCACAACAATTAAATAAAATATTATTTAATAAAGATTATTCAAATACCTAAGTTATATATCCTGCTTATCATTTAATCTTCTTTGGAAATAGTCAAATGGGCGACGATCTAAAAGCTCCCACCAGCGAGTCTGCAACGGCACACCGCACACCAACGCCAGTTATGGAAGACAAAAATGCGAGACCCAAGAGAGGCATTCTAGGAGGAGGAGGTCGGGAAGGGAAGACATGGTGCTTTGGCAGAGCAAGCGGCATCGAAAGGAGCGGAAAGAGAATGAAGACCGGTGAATGGATTGTTGGACTGTTAATTCTACCATTAATTGAATAATCAATAGCAAAATCTAGTTTGCTATCAATTCCTTTGTTTGAAATGACAGAATCAATGCGGCATGACAGCCAATATATATATGCTTTTTAAAGTTTAGTTTCTTATGTACTCCGTATATGTAAATAGGAACCCATTCAACACGTGTGAAAGAAAATGGATGGGGATGCGCATGGCCATGATGAGCCATTCTACCTTCATGCAAAACTTGGATAAGGTGAAACATCAAAAGCTAGTCTTGAGATGAGCATACAATTGCTTAATTGCCTCTCTCCATCCCCAGGGGCGCCTGGAGTAATCAGACTGAAATTCAGTCCATTGAGTTTCGAACTCGAGACCTCCTGTAAAGGAGAGTGAGTCGGCGACCAGCTAGGCTGGACCGGGCTATGTATACGATATTATACAGGGTATGTATTACGCATATATTAATCGGTAAAGACCTGATATGAGTGATTGTAATTTAGGCTACATAATAAGGTTATAATAGGAATGTTATAATATGTGTCTATGTTTAGCAAATCAGTGGCTGCAAATAGAATTTCCCGATTCCCCCGGTATATATATTATCAGGGGTGGGCAATTCGGTTTACGGTTCGGTTTTCTTCAGTTTCGGTTCGGTTTCGGTTTATTCGGGTTGAGAGAATTTGTACCAAACTAAAACCATTTGTGTTTCGGTTTGGTTTGGGTTCGATTTCGGTTCAATTCGGTTTGAAGTTCGGTTTACCAAAGTAAAAAATTTTATGTTTAATTTAGTTTGATTTGATTGGTTTGCTTATGTTTATTATTTTATTTGATCAAGTTCTATATTTTAGAATTAGAAAATGAAAGTAGTAGTACATCTCATCTTTTTTAATTTATTGATTATTTAAATAAAATGTAAAAGAAAATAAAAGATAGAAAAATAAATAATAAGATATTACTTCCTCCGTCCCAGGGAGAAGTTCTCACTTTCCTTTTTTGGTAGTCCCAACAAAAAGTTCCCATTTCCCTAAATGGAAAGTTATCCTACATCAAAACAGTGTCAAACAGTGCAAAACAGTGCCAAACAGTGTCGAAACAGTGCCAAACAGTGTCGAAACAGTGCCAAACAGTAAAATTTACCCCTCAGTAACTTTATTTCCTAAATATGTGTGAAAGTCAACCCGGGAACTTCTCCCTGGGACGGAGGGAGTATAAATTAAAACATCTTTTTTATCACTAAAAAAAGTTCACTTCTTACAAAAAATAAAATAGTTGATTAGCATTTATAATATCACATAAAATATTCAAAAAAAAACTAAAAGAGTCAGTGGTACAAATGTTGTAATATTCACAATTTTATTCAAATGAATCATGTAAAAATATAAATGCAATTCGCTATTGTTATCGCCAAACATAATAAATACAAATATGTCGTATTAGCTAACTTTGTCATAATGAATGTATGAAATGTGTAAAAGTTAAAATGATACGAGTATATGCTTATATATGTATTTTCATGTATAAATTTTTTATTTATATATTAAAAATGAAGAGTGAAGACAAATACAAAGTGTGTGTGTGTGTGTGTGTGTGTGTGTGTGTGTGTATATATATATATATATGGTTTTGGTTCAAATAAGAACATGATCTTATGAGAAAAATAAGAATGAATCTGGACTGTTAAATTTGCTTTATGTGAAATTTAATGTGCATTAGATGAAGCTGTAATGTGTATTACGTGAAATTGAAATGTGCAACACAAAGAGTAAATGTAGTGGCATTATATAAAGCTAAATTGTGCATTAGGTGAATTTGAAATGTGCATTGGATGAAACTAAAATGTGCAGAATAAAAGGTACGATATGATGTTATTTTTGTACCTTTTATTTTGCACATTTTAATTTCACCTAATCCACATGTGAGTTTAAATTTTTATTCTGCACATTTCAATATCATCTAATGCACATTTCGGTTTCACCAAATGCACAATTCAGTTCCACATAATTCAATCCAACGGTCCAGATTCGTTCTCATTTCTCTCCTAAGATTCGTTCTTATCGGAACCGCTCCCTATATATATATTGTTCGGCGTTCGGTTCGGTTTACGGTTTTTCCGTTTTAAACCAAACCAAAGTACCAAACCATTCGGTTTGAGCAAGTATTTATCAAACCAAATCAAACCACCAATTTGAATAATATATGAAAGTTTTTTTTGAGTTTCTTTAGTTCGGTTTTGTTTGTTTTTATCAGTTTCAGTTCGGTTCGATTTAATACGGTTTGGAAGAATTAGTACCAAACTCAAACCAAGTTGCTTAGTTGCTTACGGTCCGGTTTCGGTTCGGTTTAGTTCGATTTGGTACAGTTCAGTTCGGTTAAACCAAACCGTTACGCCCACCCCTAGAGTGATGTTCAAGAATTTATTTAAGATAACTACTACAAATTATTCAAGAATTTATTTAAGATAACCAATGTTCGTTCTCATAACCAATGGGCCAATTGGCCCATTTATGTTCGTTATCATAAATTGTTGGCCCATTAGTTAAGTAAAATTGAACAAATTCTTGAAAATGACTGCACACTTAGAAGCGCAGTTATTTAAAATGACAACGAACATCACCCTCTCATTACGCACTCATATGAGAGGGTGATGTTCGTTGTCAAAGAAATTGGCCCATTGGTTTTACTTAACTACTACACTATTAATGCCTTACAAGTACATCGAAATATTTTACAACCTCATCTTATCATCTACCTATAGTCCTCTCCTCACGTGGGCAGAATGGGAATAATCCTCATTTTCATTCCCTCAATTACTAAGTTTGGAGGAAAATATTTGAACTATCCAGACTTACAGACCATTCTTATTTAATTTATTTCCCGTAAAATTTATTGCAAGGAAATGAATGGTCAAAACGGAGAAGATTTGAACTTGGTTGTTTCTCAACAACCCTATGTTTAACATATTGAAATCGTGCTAATAAGGCAGTAATAATTTGCTAGGAGAATAAAGCCAAAAGGCAATGGGAAATAGCTTCCAAATTGCCATTATTTTTTTCAACTCTAATGGCCTCAAAAGTCAAAAGAAGCATTCGACCTATGTATGTTGAGTTTTTCTCCTCAAGACATTGCATTTCATAATTTGAATATTTGACTTTCATGAACATACTTCTTCCCTTTCTGGATGGCAGTGATTAAAGCACCATTTAGCCAAACAGCCCGCAAACTATATAGCCACACCTGTGTTTTGCGATGCTAGTATATACAAGTATTATGTATACCTTTACTTTATCAACATTGGACAAAAATAAAGATTAGATTCTCGCTAATCCGATTAAAATATGACACATGAATTTTGAAATTAAGCTAGAATTACAATAAGTTTTTTCGAATGTAACCCCTGACAAAAAGTAGAAACAGTGGGAAATATGAAAAGGAAATATTAGGGAAAAAACAATGAAAAAATTAGATAAATGTTTTCAAAAATGGAAATGTGATCACCAATAAGAACTTCCCCAAAAGGAAAATGTGACAAGTAAAATAATAGAGATAGTACTCCCTCCGTCCCATTTTGTTTGTACTATTTTCCTTTTCGCGTTGTCCCAAAATGAATGTTATGTTTTCTTTTTTTGACAAGAAATATATGATCCTCATCATTTTACTTTACTCTACTCAAATTTTCACGAACAATTTTTGTTTTTCAACCACTTTATAAATAAAAATGTCAAATTAAAACATGACAAGAATATGGGACGGAAGTAGTATGTATTAATAGGGATTCTCCACCACCGCACCACACATATCTATAAGTAAAGTAAATACAAAACAAAAGATAAGAACTCATATTACTTCTCTTCAGAATCACTTGATTATGTCATATTGTCATGGTCACTTTTTTCACAGATCAAATGGTGATAGAACAGTTAGAGAGCATGGAGAGACAAGAATAAGTGGATCATGGTAGTACTGATAATTATTAACATTTTTATTTTCTATACGGTCTCATATGATATGTTCTTTCCATTCAATATGACAACAAATTATATGATATCTGCACCAACAAAATTAATATACAATCTACTAACCACATCTTTTCCTAAAAAGCCTAAACTATCCACAAGAACTCTCCCAGTTCTTCTGCAAAGTATAGACCTGACTATATATATAAATTGTCTGTTTCTTGGAAGTTCTATACACCTGAGAACTTTGTCAATTTAAGTGACAAAGTCAGGCAACAATTGCGCCGGGAATCTCTTGCGGTTCTGGATGTTGTTGAAGTTTTCAAACACATTTGTTTGGTGAGACGTAGGAGTAGCCATCCCGCCAAAATCATTTCCTTCACCCATCACAACTCCATGGTTGGGGAGAAAACTACGATGGTTTTCCGGGTGTTGAAGACCGAGGGTTAGGGAGACTGCGTTCCCGGAATATGGTGAAGGGAACTGCTCAGCATTGAACCTCCCCATTTGGTCCATTGGGTACGACCCAAACGCTGCCATGAAGTTTGTCGATCCCTCCATAGACGTGTAGTCTTCTCTATTACGCCCCTCATCGTTCACAAATTTCATGCCGAGGGATGGAAGACTACTCACCAGAGTGTGCAGCATTTCTGAGTTCCTCGGCTTCTTTGGACTTCCCTGAGAGATTGATGCACCATTGGTCATTGACATTGTGTGGTTGGTACATGTCGGGTTGGCATGTTCTGAACAAGGACTCTTCTCTTGGAGAGATGCTGAATCTTGATCTATTTCTGCTTCTTCATTCTCACCTTCTCCGTTCTTCTCTTTCTCCTTGATCTCTTCCAAGTACATCTCTTCCACCATTGGTTTCCACAGCCGAACTCGAGCATTAATGAACCAATTCGACACCTGAGTTCATCAGAGCAGGTTGAAGTGTTAGAAAGATTGATTCCAAATCAAAAACATATCATAAAAATACAATTTAGCATATATGTAATTCCTTTACCTGACTCCTAGTAAGGCCGGTTTGTTTAGCTAGCATGCTTTTGTCAGAATCCTTGGGATAACTGGTTTAAGATTGCAACATATACAAGTGAGAATGGTAACTGATAGAATTCATAATTAGATGAGGATCATAAGATCACCCAATGTCTGATCAATAATCTGAAATATTAGTCTGCTACTCCCTAAATAATCCACAAAACTTTCCTCTTGGAGCCATATAAAAATTAAGGTTTTTCCTATGATCACACTAAAATAAGACTAATTGACAAAATGTGATTACTTTTTAAATATTCTTAAACAATAGAGACTAAACATGTACGGAATGGAATAACTATTAATATCTCAAAGCCAGTGACCATGATCCTCAATGACACCCTCATTGCCAGTGACACTGTCTGTAGCACATGTGTCTAAGCTCCGGTCCACCCCAAATTTAGAAAAAACTATTTAAATATTACTCCATGTAAAACATTATGTGAA